TATTCCCTGTAATATTCACTTCACTCATAATAAAGGTCAAACCTGCTTTTGACACATGATAAATAGTTTCAATGCTAAAACTGATTTTAATACCAAAATATTTGGAAAAAGGGGTTATTTTAACACTAGAACTAGTAAAGGGGAATTTTTTTTTTAACTTGCAAAAAGCATACCTCTTGGAAAATGTCTCAAAAAACTCATTATGCACACATGCGTTCAGCTTTTGCAGACAAATTTTCTGAGGAATCCTAGACAATTCCCTAGCAGAGAAGGCGTCTGATGTGCTAGAATCCATCTGCATCAGAATAAATCATTTCTGTATCTCATTAACATGACAAAATTGAAATACTTATTAGAAATTTGGTTAAAGTATGAGAATTCCTCAATAATACAAATCCTTTGTAGCTTCATATACTCTGAAGCTATTGACCATAGTGATTTAAAAGAACAGCAACAAAATTACTTTTTAATTATCTGCATTGATGACTTGTTAAAGGGTGTATAAAGGAAAAGCAAACTGGTTCACATAATGTGTATATAAGGAAAGCTCATGAATTTAGTTTGTGGCCTTTTATATTTTGTTCCACTTGTAACACTTCATGGCACTTGGCTTGCCAGACACTGCTATAGAAATACTGATTTAAGTAGTTGTCATAATAACCCCCTGAGGAAGGTGTTATTATCATGGCCATCATTCTAGGGGGATCAGAGGCTCAGAAGTTGAGTAACTTGCCCCAGTTTCCATGCAGATGGAGCCAAGCTTCAAACCAGGTGTTAGTCCTGCTCCAAGTTCTGAGTTGACTGCTACACAATGTCCATTCTCTTTTTACCTCTTACCTACAAGAACATAAAGACAGTTGGGCACAGTGGCACACATTTATAATCCCAGTGACTTGGAAGGCTGAAGTAGGAAGATCACAAATTCAAGAATACCCTTAGCAATTTAGTGAGGCCTTAAGCAACTTAGTTAGACCCTGTCTCAAGATAAAACATAAAAAGGGCTGGAGGTGTAGCTCAGTGGTAGAGTACTCTTAGATTCATTCCCTAATACAAAAAAAAAAAAAAAAAAAAAAGGAATGTAAGTACAGAATCAAGAGGAGTTATCTATAAATCAACTACCTAGAGAGGATGGTATAGGAAAAAATGTTTATCTGGGCTGGGGCTGTGCTCAGTTGGTAGAGCACTTGCCTGGCACAGATGAGGCACTGGGTTGGCTCCTCAGCACCACATAAAAAATAAAACAAAGGTATTGTGTCCATCTACTAGGAAAAAAAAAAAAAAAAATATATATATATATATATATATATATATATAGAGAGAGAGAGAGAGAGAGAGAGAGAGAGAGTGTTTTCCTGCTCCATAAGAATAAATGTGAGACAAGAGGTTCCATGCCAACTTCAATCAGTCACTTTTCCACTGGAGCCTGGGGGATCTCCTCTGCTCCTCAGCTTCTTCCTTCTCTCCATTCCCCACCCTGCTTTAGTCTTCATTTACTTTACTCAGAGCCCCAATTGTTCCCCTTGCCTCCAGTCTGATCCATTCTAATCTTCCTGAGCAGACCAGTTTCTAAAACACAAAACTGTTGTCTACTCTAACTCAAATCTCTTCAATGTCACTGCTTTATGTTGAAGAGTCAAGTCTGATACAAAAAGTGCTTGCTTCCTGCTCTTGCCAGTTCATTATCCTATTCCAAACCCGCCACAATAGGTGGTTTCTTTCTTCCACATGGACATTTTACCAAGCCACATTGAGCTGTCTACCATTTTCTGTCCCCTGATTATTTCACTCCTGGAATTTCCTCCCCTTTCCAATGACAATTTGAATCACCAACCTTAACCTAGCTACTTTTAAGATAGCCTTCAAAGCCCACCTCACGCATCATTTCTTCTTCCTCCTTGCCCTTTCTCAATCACGTGCATACAGACACAAGCATTCTTATCCTACACCTTATCACTACTGATTTGTACCCACAAAATCCCCTCCTCTAAAAACTGTTCAGCTCAGAGATACTCCATGTGAACTTCATAGTAACATCACAGGGAGCAATTTCTCAGACCCCTCTGAAGACCTAACAAACTAGAATTTCTAGGTTGGGGTCTGGTCTTTTGATTCTTCTATGTGCTATCAGTACAGCAGCAATGCACTGAACTTGCCACCATCACACACACTGCCACATCTTATTGGTTTCTCACTCCCTGGTCAGCACCTTTGACTGTCTGGGATGAGGAAAAGGATCAATAAAAGATCAATGAATGAATGAATGGTGAGTTAATCCTCTAAATGATTCATTAAATCTTTCTCTTCTTCAAAGCTAAATTATGCAGGAAACACTATAAATATTCTTTGGTCCACTAGCACCTACACATATTCTTAGAATTGGAATTTGCCTTTAAGAGTTGAGATCTATGACAATTTTTAATTTTGAACTGGTTAAGGATCAGTGTATTATGCCAATATTATAATAAGGGATACTAAAATAAAGTGAAGTTAGAGCTGTTCAAGACAAACACAAAAACAAGAATTCCGTAGTATGCACAGAATGTCTCTAAAGTACATTTTCATCTATTCTACAGTATAGCAGAAGGTGGTGCCCTCTGCTTCAAGTTTTAAAAGATTATGTGAGGTACCTTAAATAATCAATATCTTTCTTTTTACTACTTTTTGCACATAGTAGTTTAGGAAGGAAAATGAAAATTGGAAAACCCCAAGAATGCTATGTATCAAAATATTATCTCAGACCTTTTTAGTTCCTTCATCAGTGTTCATGCTACATGTTGCTCAGATATATTCCAGACCTTCATGTTAAAATTAATAAGGCCACTGATGTGACTTTAAAAAAAATCACTTTTCTAAATATGAATTCACTCCTTTAAAACAACTGATAAAACAAATGATGTAAACGAGATAAACTCTTAAATATAAAACTGTCCAACCAAAGTAATAAAAAGTACATCTTAATTTTTGAGGCAATATTCTGGACTGTTGTCACATCAAGTGGAAAACAACATCATCCTAATGGTAACTTTTAACATACCTGCTCTGGTCACTACCAGCAGCTTGCAGAGAAATATATAACACACATTTAACTGCTGACATGTAACTATGTAGCTATGTCCTATATACAGACCTGTTTAAAAGTTCAGATTTGACAAAGCAAAGAGCAAACTCTTTTTAACCATCTTGAGGTTAGAGACTTTAGATGGCAGAGTATAGATTAGCATCTACTAGTAAAAATATGTCCACTGGACATTTAAGTAGAACGGCAAATAGAAAGGACTGGGGATATAGCTCAGTTGGTCCAGTGCTTGCCTTGCCTCATATGCATAAGGCTTTGGGGGGAGGGGGAGATAGAGATAGATAGATAGATAGATAGATAGATAGATAGATAGATAATCTGAGAGAAAGGCAGGCAAATAGAAAAAAAAAATCATTATAAGGCATTCAGAGCCTGCATAAATAGGAATTATATCCTGCACATCACACTCCACTCCCCAAAGAAGTTTAGAAAAGGCTACCAAGGGGAGATACCCATGCTGGGAAAATGTACCCATTCTTTAAAGACTAATTTGTAGCTGCTGGTGTCTTACATAACTTGACATATAATCAATGGTAGTTGATTCATCTCTTCAGAGATTCATCTCTTCACAGTTATTTCCATCTTGCCTACCTGGCAACATCTTGGCTGAGAAACTTCACCAGTGCTAACATTAGTTATGGAAATCATGAACAACAGAAATAAGTAACTAAAGAGTAAACTCAACTTTCAAAAAAATTGTCCAGTATTACTGTTTCTTAACTACAAAAGACTTGTAGAGCAAGGAAAGTAGTTCATCAATAAACATAAAGGACTCTGAAAAGAATGTTGAAATGTACAAATTAGAAACTCAAAAAGCATGCCCATCTTCTATGGAAGCACCTCAAAGGACTCAAAACCTTGCTCTGACAGATTTTTCAGGACCACCTGCTTGCTTTGGCCCCTAAATTCTGTACCATTTAGTTCCTCAGAAATACTTTCCACCTTTTCTGTTTTCTCCCAAGTGTTAAGTTCCTGATTTTCCCAGGCAAGTCAAACAGTCAACTGGGAAGAAAGTATAATTTCAGTTGACTTGTTGATCTTGAGCCCCAGCAATGGAGGAGGATCATTCCCAACTGTCTTGGGATAATGAAAACAAACATATGGATTAAATTTAAACAGCAACAGAAAAGAGATAATGGCTAAGACTTTTCTGGATTAAAGATCTTTGCAATTCAGGTTGTAACTGTGATTAAGCTGATGAGAATGGGGAATTCCCTTCTTCTTTGGAATAATTCCAAAAATCTTTTGAATAAGTGTATGCTGTAGAAACTGAAACCCAAGAAGATGAAGTGGTTAACTATATAGGGATTTCACAATAAATTCTATCAGAAAAGCATCAGAAAGTGGCAGAGAAAAACAATGTGTATATAGACAATTACGAATGAATATGGGTGTGTTTTGTGTGTGTGTGTGTGTGAATAGAATGAAAAACTAATTGAGTATATAACTATATTCAAATTTCTTGTATGTCACTTTATCTTTTTTTTTTTTTTTAATTTTTTTTTAATCCTAGACTTAAGCTATTTCACACTGAGAGAAGCAGCAGCACTGGATCACATCGGAAGCCAGATGCCATTGAGTACAATACCCTGGTTAGTACAGGGAGATCCAGACATTTGATCAACTATAGCTTCAGAATGCCAGCCAACCACAAATTCCATAACAGGAATATAAATGCATCCATTCACTCCCTCTCATTAACTTAACAGTCAGGCTTTGAACAATGCAATTGATTAACATATCCATTGTTCTCCTATGCTTTTGCCTCAAAATGTTTACTTCCTTAGGGATCAAAGATATCTGAATACTTAGCAAATAAATGCTCCTACAAAATAATTTCTGTAAAATATATTGGCACCAAAAAGTGCCAGAATGAAACTTTTACTATTTCAAGGAAGTGACAAAAATGGTAAGAAAACAAATCTATGAACCAGTTTTATTTTATTTGCATTTAACATGAGTATACACATTCATGTGTCTAACAAGATCTGCACTGTTACATTAAAAATACAGTACAATAACATTCAACATGAGGTACTTCATATTTATATATTTTTCCTTCATAAATAATGTTGTAAGCTGCTAAAGTCAAGCACTGATGCATAAGTTGCTACAGTGTCTTGAGTTAGCTGAGCTTATTAAACACCTTAAAAAAAACAAAAACAAAAAAGACAGTTCAGTGCAATAATTATGTAGAAATTAGACCATTTACTTAAATACTATTTTAAGATATGCTTAAAGAATGTTACATTAGAACTGCTAGCCTAGTTACCCTTTATCCCCAGTATGAACAATGACAAAGACTGCCAGATACATTGGGAAAAGCATCTACAGCGTACTCTGTTTAATAAAGTTGTGTTTATACACTAGAGTTGCCTGCCTTGTCAGAACAATGGTTTCTAATTTTAAAAGCTACAAAATTCAAAATTACCAAAGAAAACAAAGCAAGCACATTAGCTTTCATTCCATTTTGTTGAAAATGCAGAAAGGAGACTTGGTCTAAAATATATAATTTTTTATTCTAAATACAATTTTCAAATTTTATCCACAGGCCAATCAGATGGTGAAAGTGTTTTGTTTTTTGTTTTTTTATTTTTATTTTTCTTCTCTTAATTGACAGAAAATTAAGTTCTTCTATACCCAGCGTACAGGATCTCATGTGGCTTTCGGCAGACTAGCTGTGCAGAGGGCAACTCAACTGACAGAGCAGTGAAGGAATGACCCCACTCTCAGGCGGTCCATCACACTCACCCTCTCAACTATGAAATTAGTGCTGAGTAACATTTCTTCTCCTCTGGCTTCACGTCAAGTGCCTTCTAACCAGTTTTACCATTTTGCATGATAGTTATGAGTTACTGAAATGTTTAACCATAATTTTAGAATAGAATCCTTTGCACAAGTATTTTTAAGTGAAAATTTATCTTTATTTCATTAATGTTTTGCCAAAACTACAACCTGTCATGTCCATAATAAGATAATTCTAGATAGCTGTTCTGGCAGTATTCATCTATAGTCACCAGTAACAACTTTCAGTCAGCTATGCTAACAGATGTAGGTAAATGGCAAAAGTGATTAAAACAGTTCCCATAATCCAGTGTTCTCCTCCATCAGGGACACTCGCCAAAGGCGACAGGCCCACATCTACAGAGAAAAAAGCAGCCCAGAAGCACAGTGAATAAGCAAGGGCAGTCACTCATTGGGCCTGGCTGGGGACAGCAGGGGGACCATTGTGTCCCACCTCTCACTAACCAGGCAGGGAGGAGGGAATTCCTGAGTTGGCAATCGCACTTGCATGCACATGGGCACATGGGCTCACAGGCACACACACACCCCAGGACTAACTCCTGGCCCCAGACAAGCCAGTTTCAGGCTTGCAGAGCAGGAGAAGGAGGCGGCCAAGGGACCACACTCTAGGTGGCGGAGAAGCCATCTCAGGATCACACTGAGCAGAAAAGCTGCCCAAAAACACATGGATTCTTCAACTGGCAGTGATCACACTGGGCACTGCCAGGGTCACAGGCACCAAACCAACAAAAGCCATCACTGAAGGAGAATTTTTTAATGAGCTTTTCCTCCTTTGCTTATATTAGCCATGGACAAATAAGAGAGCCAGATGTGCTGCTGATGCAGTGAATTCAGGGACAACAAACTCTGTTACTCCAACCAATTTCTGAAAACCCTGCAGGCATATATTGGCACTTTAAGGTGGCCAGAGGCCAGATTCTAGCAGTCCAGAATGAGAACAGAACTATAATCAACAAATAAAATAGCATATGGTCAAAGATTAGATAAAGTATATTTCAAATAAAAAAAAAAAACAACAAATAAAAGTATTTTATGACATTAACAATGTAGTGCTACAAAACCAGTTGTTACTCCATTCCTCTAAAGAAATGTTTGGTCCTCTTTTAAATGGGAGAAAAGGGATCAGGAATTCTATACAGTACGATTTATAAAAACAAGCAAATGATAGGGACCCAAAGCTATGTGGCAAGAAAAGAGTGCCTTTTTCAAACGCATTATCAATTAAAGTATTTGTAGTATGGGATTTTTTAGGTTCTCTTTTAAAACCTTTACTGTAAATTAGCAGGCCTGCAATTTTTTTCTATTGACAATAAACTTTTATAATTTCATTACTTCCAAAAGAAGTGTTCATATTGTGTTACCTTGTCTTCTTAAAAGAATATAAGTCTCCTTTGCCTATAAAACACCACTCAATTCCTTAGTTTCTTATTTTACACTGCCATTTTGAGTTAATGTGTAATAATCTTATTGGTTTAGGATTAAAAAAGCAAAGTGAGAAGCAACAACTTTAAAAGAAAAAAATGTAAGAGCCAAACATGACTACTTTCTACATTCTAAATTATTACTTATTATAAAGTAAAATTTCTCTCAAAATTGTACACTGAGGTTTATCTGGTTTTTTGGGGGGGTGGGCTTTGTTTAAAAATAACTCTTGATTGTTATTATTTTAGACTATTTCCATTCATCAAATAAAATCCAAAAGGAAATTTGAGGTGATCCAAAATTTTCTTTAGAGACATGAAATTGGGAGGTCGGTGGGGCATCTGAGAGAGCATAATCTCTCCAGGTGTATAGACGCAACTCTGAAAACCACAAAGCCTTAGTAAGAACTTGGCTCTTTTAAGCATATAGTTAAAAGCGGAATGCTGCATTTTAGCCTGTACATAATTAAAAAGGGTAAAAGAAATTAGAAACTGCCTACCGCTTCATTCATAACAAATTACCTGCACTGATCACATATCTGCAGATGAGCTAAGCATCAAGCAAGGAGAGGCCAGATGTGCACCCGAGCTCACACTGCTTGGGGAAGTGAAGCTTTAAGCATAGAATATAAGTTCAGGGATCTGCCCTCCCTGTACCCCAGTGCCATTTGTGCTATCCGAGGAGCATTGAAACTGGACAGTCACTTTGCCACACTGAACTTCCGTCATGCCTTCTTGTCCAAAGTAGCTGAGTTCATTGCCATCCAGTATCACACTGGCTGTGTAGAAGGTGTCCGGCTCGATCTGCACAGGATACTCAAACCACACAGGGAAGGTATTGCTGGATCCATCTGAGAAGTACTTGCTCAAGTTCTGCCCCAGGACAACACCCTGCCGCTTGAGTTCAATCTTGGCACTGTATTCTGCAGAACCACAGCTGGAGCCATACAGCCCAAAGCCTGCAATAAACACTCTTTTATCAACAGCAAACTGGATGCTGTCACAGCGACCCCGATAGCGCCACTGGTTGCTCCTATAGGCACAAGACTGGAAACGGTGACAGCGCTGGGGGACAAGGCCCTTGCGGGCTTTACTCACAAACTGCAACTCTGGCTTTTTGGCCGCAGTGTACCAGAGGAAGATGTCATTGGTCTCATTGAGAGTTAATACTCCGGACTGGGCAGCACCATTTGCAAAGTCATCAAGGGCCATTGTGGGTATGCGGATCAAGTACAGTGCCTTTCCTAGGACCTTACGTTTATTTTCAATGCTCAAGGCTAGATCTTGTCGCTGGCATTCTACTTCAGCCCAGTTGAGAGCTGCCTCAAAAACCACGATTTCTTTGGCATTCAGAGTTTCCCTGCGGAGGATACTTTCTAGTGTCTGGAAGTCGATATCACAGAATCCCTCAGACTTGAGAGCTAACTCAGCCTGGGCATCGATTACCTCCCAGCAACGCTGGGTCAGATCAGGCTCCTCGAACAGACAGCTCTGGGAGAGGAGCACACAGGCATTCTTGGCGCTCAGGCTTGTCTCCAGGAAATTAACACAGGCTCTGGCAAGGTGAGGGACAATGTATTTTTTGGCAGCATACAGTGTAGCCAACACTGTGTCAGCAGCCAAGTCAATTTCATCACAATAGATATATCTGAAAGAAAACATACAATATATAAATGGAATTTTCACAAAATGAGCATGCTCAGCATGTAAAGAACCAACTATTTTCACATTTGTTCCAAGAACATCATCTTATGTGACACTTATTATAAACATGCTTAAAGAAATATCTGAATTATATTTATAAGTTATTACTATCTCAGCTCAGTAGTAAGTTTGTATCATGAAAGGCATTAACTTAGTATTACCATTCTGGCCTATGTTTCACATGCTATATATAGTGTCTTCTCAACAAAAATAGAAGATACTGTAACTATTCAAACTTGACTCAACATCAGAAAAAATAGCAAAATTGTATTACATATGTTATATTTAGATAAAAACAAAATGCCTTTACTACTATAATTTCAGCATTAACCCTATCTTGATGCTTTTGGATTTCTCCTAAAGATTAAAAAAAAAAAAAAAAAAACTGATACTAAATATTTTTCAAATAGATCCAAGTTCACAAATAATCAAATATGGACTTCAATTCTACCTTCCAGGTTACTCAGAACACAGCAGGCTCTGTGCCAGTTTATTTGTTTAATTCAAAACTTCTAAATTCCTCCCACATATATTCTTTTCACCTTCAGAATTAAAGAATACATTTTTTCCATACGTATTAATTAAAAGACAAAATGGGAAAACTTAAATGTAGAGTTTCTACGTCAATAAACCACACTTTGTGGTATTTTAGAGGATAGCGATAGTTTCTCAAAATGGAATGTGAAAGTAGAAATTATCTGCTTCTGGTAGATGGTTATGGTTAACATAAAAAAAATAGAAATAATAACATTTACCTTTAACTTTTTCTAGCTAAAGTGCTAGGTACTTTATCTGAAGTCTTCCTGTATTTATTTTATTTCATCTTAGTAAAAGACACGTTAACTCAAAAAATCAGCAATACCTTCTGTGAAAAAGTAGAGAAATTCAAGCATGCAAAGAGAAAAATGTCCACGATCACAAATGAAACCTGCCCTTTTGCTCCTAGGAAGCCCTTCTCCTCTCTGATAGGCTAAGCCAGATGCCATTTGACAATACACTTGCAGCTCAGTTCTGCTTTGACCAAGAGCCAGGACTTTGGGAAGGATCCTGGAACATGGTGAGTAGGTTTGTAACTCTTACCCTGTAATTGTCAAGGGCACAGTCATCCCCTTGACAATCTCTTCTCCTGGAATAATGGCTTCTCACCCACAATGTACAAGGAAGGAAATCTGGTCATCAGTATCACAACTATGGCATGGCAGCCAAAGGCATCTTACAGCATCTCTGACTCCTACCACTTTATGTGGCCTGTGTGTACAACTTTAAAAAGCTGTATTAATACATGCTCTAGGTGATACAACTATGAGAAAAGACACTTGACCAATGCTGAATCAAATGAGTTAGGTGAAATGTAGCTCTTGGCCATCTTGCTGCTTCCTAATTATGCATATGTCTAGAACAACTCAACAAACTACTTGGCTGTAGTGAAGCCCAAAATGCTGAAGTATTGCTGCATTCTGCTCAGCAAGAGATAATACTGTCAAAGACACTGAGTTGACTTCCTCTGATGGAGGGTGGGAGAGAGGACCCTTAGAGGTAAAACTGATTTCTGCACGTACTTCTCTAAAAGACCACAAAGATTAAAATTGGTGGATTAGTTTAGGCTTTGGTGCTTCACATGCTTACTTGCCTTTCATTTCCCTATATTCCACTGTGAAAGTCCTAGTCAACAGCAATTAGATTTCAGAATTTTAATATGAATAAAAAATACATTTAAGCTGTAGAACTATAATTTTTCAGCAGGTAGTAATAAGACATAGCAACATTTTAACCATTAATGGGAACATTGTCCAACTTGTTGACCCACTGAATGATTTTTTTGAACAATAATTTTATTTATTTCAGTGAAATGAAATCCCTAGAGCAGCAGATGACCTTGAACTCAGTCTTTAGTGTCCTAGAAATTAATGCAGATTAAGAGAAAGCATATAAATAATATTTAGAATAACACTAAATTTTAATAACAGGATAGACTATCACACATTGTCTAGCACTGGTACATAGTACAGAAGATGATTCATGTATCTGCTTGACATATACTGGAAGCTACAAAAGACCCACTAGATAAAAAGCTAATGTAAATTAATATTACATATACTTTTGTATTTCTAGATTACCAATTGAAGTTTTTCTGTATACATCTACATGAAATCATAGAAAACGATTTATAACTTCCAAAAATTTCTCCTCTAATATCAAATGCAAATGCTTCTTATTCTGGAGAAAGTGTCCAATTTTATAGAAGAGTAAGTGTACCGTATTTGTGCAAAAAGATCGGACTAAGTCAACAGACAGCGAATTCTACATTTGCTGTTAGGAGATAACAACTCAGAAAACTTAGAAGTCTTCCAAATTGTAGTGTTTAAATAAGGTATATAATTTCTGGAATTGTGAAATAAAAATGTATTTCTTTGAAGACTTCTTCACACATACTGATTTCAGATAGAACATGTGCCATTAAACAATGCCTACACCTGAAAGTTATTTTTCTTTAATTACAAGCCATTAAGAACCAAATTGCTATACATGCCACTTGCCCCCACATCCTGTGCCAAGGTGTGGATAAATGCTTGGATCATTCCACATGCTTTCCAATTAAAGATGAACAGCAGTTTTCTCCAAAAACATGTACAGGATAAGCAGCACCCTCTTTCTTCATCAGAGTCTCCTTTTTTTGTTATGCAGAACTTACATTTAACTTTGAAGCCAGCAGGGTACAAATATAGCATAAACAAACTCTTTCCAAACATAGAAATAATGCTTACTTCAGCATGGCGAGAAAAGCAGCAGGTTCGACATCTGGTATACGGATTTCATCTTTGTCCTCGGCAAGTTCTCCGTAAAACATTGCATGGAACACAGAGCTCCCAACAGCTAAGACATACTGTGGAGAAAGGGAAATCTTATTTCATGCACTAAATTGAAAGTGTTTTCAGCAAATCAATCCAGAAAAACAACTCTAAGCAATCAGGTTTAGTGGGCATAGAGTACCTAAACCTGTTCCTTTGAAAAAACCAAGATACAGGGTATTTGGCAGGGAAATATAAGATGTTCATACAAAATAGCCTCTATGCTAATTATTTCAAAGCTTTCAGAGATTAACGCAGGGGTCCCCTCATTGCAACATAAATACAATAAAAGCTTATCTCACTATTTCTAGGAAAGGGGTCAATACATGACTTTCCTAACCTGTCACAACAACTTCCCAGGGCTGGAGAGTTAAGAGGGTATGTTTCTGTGAGAGATATAAAGCAGTATAGTAGGAAACAATGAAAAAATTAAGCGTGGTCAAAGCCCTTTGGATAGGGTATGCTTTCTCTGTAACTGGGGGAAACATGCACTGCCTGCCATCGGCAAGCTGCCCACACCAAGTTCCAGGCTGACTGAGAGGGTCCCTTTTTGTAAATCTCAGGACAAAACCGGTAATGCAGCTGTTGCTTACTTTGTGTCCTGGCAACCGCTGAGTCCCACCTGGTGGCCCAACCACAAAATGTACATCTGCCATCAAATCATTATTGAACATCACCGCATTTCTATAAACAGAGGCAATTCATTAATTCACAGCAGCCAGCATTCTTAATCCCTTTCTCCAACATAAAAAGACTCACAAGCTAAGCAACAGTTTAGTAACTTCATAGCAAAATTTAAAAAATAAAGATTGAAACTAAACAACTGTGTTTGTAGTTATTGCAAACACACAGGAAGTAGCAAAAGTTTTTTTTTTTTTTTTTTTTTTTTTAAGTTATACAAACTTTTCACAAGGCTAAGGACAAATTAAAGGTTTCTATTTTTCATGGCCTATAGAATATAACCCTGTCACTTAAATATTACAGCTTGCAAAAACATTTTTGTCTAAGAGAAAAACAGCTGTACTGTTTTGGAAAAGATACAAGGCAGTTTTCCATTACCAATAAAGCTTCTGGGAAAAGAGGAAACACAGATTTGTGTTAAAATACATTACAGGTTGTTCAAAAGCACAAACTTCAACACAGGAAAACTTTTAAAGTACATGTGCTGGCTCAGTACTTACCTTTCTCTAATGGTGGGATAGAGACCCTGCCAGTTGGGGGCCGGGATCAGGTTGTTGTTGCTGAGATTCTGCTGGTGGTACTGCTGGACAGTGGTGCTGCTGGAGTTAGCTGGTTTTTTCCGGGGAAATATATCAGCAGCCATCTTCTTCTTCTTTTTAGTCTTCAAGGTAATTATTTCATAACAAACTGGGGGCAACTTGCTGCTGCTACTGCTAGTGCCGCTGCTGTTATTTGCTTTCTTTGAGCTTTTCTTGGACCTGTTCTTTACCGTCTCTGGAAGCATCAAGAAGAAGGTGAGACATTTCATGTTCTTTTCCTTGTCATCTACCATGAGTACAGTATGTTTCTCTTTACAGCTAGATATCCCAAACTGGTTCAAACATCAAGGAAAACAGGCTGGCCGGAGCCAAGATGTTAACAGAAACCAACAAGCTGATATTTTGCTTCTTTTCTCAGCCAGGCAAGGTGACCTTTTCACTATGTTGAATAGAAACTGGCTTTAAGTTTTATCCAGTACTGGGTCTGTTAAATACATCCCCATCATGATTCCTGTTTCTCTTACTTGCTCATAAAAACAACCGTTTCCTAGATCACCTGAAAACGCTACACCGAGCGAAGACGACAGGCACAGAGCTGTAGCACTTGTTTTCTGAATTAGGTTAGCAAGATGTGCTGGAGCTGAGTGAGTCTGTTCAGCCAGCTGAAGTTGTGTGGTGAATGGATCGGAGGAGAGTAGGTATTACAGCCCTGCAGATGGAGTCAGACAGCCAGTGCTCGGAGCCAATAGCTGAAGTCACCAATCATGATTGGACCAAGCAAAACAGTGACACCTATTGTAACGTGCATAGTTCTGATATTAAAGGAACAGCAGTTGTATTCTCTGTCTACTGTATATTTAAATAAGATAAACAATGTATGAAATATATTTGAACATAGGAAGAAAGGAGTTTATGCCCACAAATTTCTCTTTAGTTAGAATATACATTTTTATTTTTTCAGCTAAACAAGCAGATCAAATTAACAAAGCATAGGACAGACAGCTATTTCTAGATTTCTGGTAAAAATATTTTTTACAGCAGCATTTAGTTTCAAATATTTTAGACAAAATCCTCTATAGTCTGTAAGTTTCAAAGGATTAACCATAGCAAAACCATATTAAACATATTTATTACATCTGAAAGAGGAAGGAGGTTGTTTTTCCTTTTCATTTTTCAGTTTCTTTAAATGCAAGTTATATTCCAGTATAAAAGAAGAGAACTAAGGCCATGTGTTCATTTTACCTTCCAGCGTTCTCTAGCTCCTGTCTTTAACAGGACTCCCAGGTCACAAAACATTATTAAGATAAGATTATACCAGCAGGCTGAGCTGCACTGAAGCCTAAGACAAATTCTAGATGTAAAAATAATATTCAAATGAGATAAATCTGGTAATCAGTGTTTAAAGGCTGTAATTCACTAAAAATATGTCAGATGGTGCTCTGTTCTTGATCTCAAAATTCCAACTTAACTGTTATTTCCACATTTAATCTTGTTATAATTTTAAAGAATATAATCTACAATTTCTAACACAGAGCCAATAGTAAGGCTATTTAAGATGATAAATGTCTGATGCTACCTAGTTAAAATGCAAACAGGTTCTCTCTGCTTTGGATCAGAATATAAACTACTGTATGGTTTTCAAAAATATGAATCCTCCAACAATTTCTAGTAAAAAACAAAACCAGAAACACCTGCTGTAGAGTCTTCATATGCATATTTATTTGTAAAGAGGGACTAATGAAGATATTTAATCTCACCCCTATCTATTTGGATTATTCTCATTTGTGGGAAGCACATCAGCCACTTGCTGCCCCCCACAATCTAATGTACCCTTCTCAACCACAGCCCTGATTGTTGCATTTTATGTAAGTAATGACTAACAAAATGAGAACTTAGCATATGAGAACTATTAGTGTTAATATTATAATTAGTAATCTAATAAAGATAATTCCAACAATTTTTAAACTCCCAGGATACTAAATCACTAAATTAAACCAAACAATATCCTCCTTTCTGTCATTACTATTATTCTAAAAACTATTTCAAAGACACTGCAGAACACAACTGTGTAAAGAGAGCCACAATCTTTAGCATAAGGTTACCCATCCCGATTTTATATGGACCCTGAGTGCTACTAATTTATTGCAATTATTGTATTATCAATCACAGGGCTAATATATCATACATCTATACATACAAATGACCTTCAAATACATTTTAATGAACAAAGACAACGGGATCTGGAAAGGAGTTTAAAAAAGCACCTGGAAAAAGGCATGAAGAAACAAGTAGGCTCCAATTTAGGTATCTACTCAGAATATGGTTAAAAACCAAAGGATTTCAATTCTCCAAGGCTACTGAACTTGGATCATATCCCTCCTCAGCAAGGCCCCACCCTGGGAAGGCCCTTCTGACAGAAATTCATCTCACAAATCTAGTATCTGGCTTTTCAGGTCAGAAGTAATCAGGATGGAAAGAGACACCAGCCACTTTGAGGAGACATCATTAACTAGCAGATGAATGAGACAAAACAGAAAAACATACAACAGCACCATGGAAGGCTTTGTAGTTCTTATTCATTTTGCATATAGCTCAATATTCACCACAAAGAGAGCCTCTAAAAAAATATGGCTTTTGCAACACTAAGTTGAAGAAAAAAAAGAGTATATGCAAATACTTTTAAGAAAGAAAATTCTATAACATTTAGAAAATGATCTTTCTGAAATTAAATATTCTAGTTATGTGGAAAATTAAATTTTGTAGAAAGGCTTGAAAATCCCAGTTAAATGAAGTAGTGCTAAGTCTGAATCACCTAGAAAAGTGCTGCAAAGAGGGGTATCATCAATTTTCACTCAGGTGAATGTTGGGGCAGATGAGAACAGCTGTTTAAAATCAAGACAACGGGGGCTGGGGTTGTGGCTAGCATGCGTGAGGCACTGGGTTTGATCCTCAGCACCACATAAAAATAAAATAAAGGTATTGTGTCCACCTATAACTAAAAAATAAATATTTAAAAGAAATAAAATCAAGACAACAGAAAAATGATCAGACAGCTATCTTTTCTTGCCACAGTAATAAGTCGGGTAATACAAGTTCTTGCTACTAAAAGTGTAATCCCAAGATCCAAAGTAGCATCTCTCAGGAGTGTTTACTGAAACCCACAATCTCAGCCAGATTCTGCATCACAATCTGCATTTTAACAAGACCCTTCACATTTATAAATGGTATGGAATTCAAGTTTGAGGAAAAAACTCACAGAGAAACTAAGGACATTATAGTGCCTTCCCAAAGATCCCACACCAACATTTCAGCTCTCAAGTGAATGAACAAAACAACTCAAACCATTTTAATTTGATTTTGAAATAAAAATTAGCCCTCATATCTTGTTCTGAAAGTCCTTCTGGTTAAATGTCAACATTTTAGGAATAGGGGTGCAGACAGCCAACTGAGAGGGCTTAGGATATCTGCTAATCCTATGGAAAAGAAGTTTAAGATCAGATTATTTTAAAGGATAATGACAGAAATTATTTTAGTGGGAAAAACAAAGGATTCAAAAGTGCCAAGTGTGAAGCAGATGAACTATCTTTTTAAAATAATCTACTTCACAATTCTGTTTCAAAAAATTAGCAATGCAGCAGGGTAAAATTAGTAACAAAGTAATATGGTTCAATCCTAGCTGGACCACTTGAAGTAACACAGGGACAGCAGGGATTTAAACAAATCATTCAGCCTTTAAGGGCCTCAGTTTCCAGTTATAAAGTGAAGAGGTTCATTTACAATAAAAGAGTGTTTCTCATCTAATAGATGAGTTTCTCCAACTTTATACTCAATCCATAGTAAGAAGGACATTTTATATTCTGACAGTATAAACACACATAGATGCATACAAATCAAAAGAATGAACAAAACAAAATTTACTCTGATATTTTCTACTTTATTCTTTTGTTTTGTTTTGTTTTAATCTTGACCCATTCAATTGTTCTCATGATCACAGTTTAATAAACATTGATCTAGAGTATTTTGAGGGGCATCACCAAAGAATTTACCAACCAGAGTTTTTTTCTATCAAGAATTTGGACCAAGAATACCAGATGGAAAAGTAAGGCTCCACCCACAGTGGGGTATCCATGAAACTTTTCAACCTGCAGGTAAAATTGGCAATGTGCATTTATTTTTCTGGAAAGAGTAATGATAGCTTTCATCTATCCTTTTGAGTAATCCATGACACCTAAAACAATAAAATCTCGTGAAAACTCTAGTATTGATTTAAATATACAACTTTATGACTTATTCTCCCTTGATTAAATATAAACAGTTGAAAATCCCATCTATTCAGTCTATAACCCAAACCTATCACATACTGGGTTGAAGGACAGTAAAGGATAACAGCCTAAGACCTACTGTCACATTTTAACTCTAACATGTCTTTCCAACTAGCATTCCATCACTTGTTCTTACACTTACACTTCCTGGATTTTATAGCTGCTCTGAGACACAGTAAATATCTGATCAAGAAACCCACCAATCTTTAATGAAAGCATTCCCAGAACATACCATGCTGATTATTATTGCATGTTGTGCATACAACAGGAAAGATTAGGAACCAAGCTCAAAACTTGTAAGTTAATAATAGTGGGGTTTCAGTTCAGCTTACAAGCACCACAAAGTTAAATCACCATGATCGATTTCATTCAATTCTCAATAATGACAAAATTACCAATAGAATTTAAGGTCCAAAAGAAGGTTTACAAGCTGTCCTACCTTTAGTACAATTTTACATACACAGATTGGGGACATGAATGAGATTTGTAATTGAAAGGGACTCTAGAAATCATGTAACACAGCTGTTGGCTCGCAGATAATGCAAGGGGATATCAGAAGTTTGTAAAGATTGGTGAAAAGTCCACAATTAAGTAGTGGGGCAACACCTGGACTAGAAGGCAGAACTGCAGGCCACGTTCTGTTTATTCCACTCTGATTTTCACTCACAGTAATCAGTCCATATCCTTACACAATGTTCTGTTTGTATTTCTAATCTACTGTATAAGAAAAATACATGTGCAGAGTTCAGAGATGAAAATCATGAACATGTACCATTCACAGCCCTACAGGAGCACACTATAGGAAAGAATGCTGAGACACTTTCTGGAAAGAAACAGGAAAGAATGTAACAGGAAGGAAGAGCCAGGAGGAAGCCTAGTGAAAAACAGAAGAGGCTCTCCACATAAAATGAAAGTTAGAAAACCAATCATTCACAGTTAACATCAAGTTCTACATCCACAACTCACAATACTGGCAACTCTTGTTTAACTTGCTCTAACTCTGGACTCTGTCTGGACTTGTACATGGTTTACTATAAGACACCTAAAAAGTAACAGCAGTGAGGTTAGCTGAGGTTTAAACAGGGCAAAGCAGAATAAAAAAAAAAAATCACTTTAAAAAACGATTCATTGCACATAACAAAGTAGTTTTATCTGATAAATCAAAATGAAATAGTATTTTGTTTTCCTTATTTTTCCTTTCAATACTAAGCAAAAGTTAGTTATACTTGTTGATTTGGGAGGTAAAAACATAAGTGACAAAATATTGGCAGTTCATAAAGATAGTAGCAGCTGCTGGAAAACAAACTATATGCTTGCTAAATTTGGAAATAAATATGGAATCAAGCATTGGCAGCATATATAGTGAAAAAAAGCAAGAGCCAAATGACCTTAAGGCTAGTAACTTAGGATCTGTGAGTCTCATCTGCCAAATGGGTAATTATATCCAGTTCACCCCTCTCATGTTTACAGTAAATGCAAAATTATATGTTTGTAAAAGCACTTTGATAAAGGTGGAAAACACTACAAAGGTAATCTCTATTAACATTACTTGTGATGCAACCAACAAAAAACACAAAACCCCAAATAAATATGGCTCCCTATCCTTGTACTCTTCCAGGCTGCATAGCTCCAGACCTCTCTCTCCAAGCCTGCCTCTTGCCCCATCTGTAAGCCACATGGGTCCTGAGTGGCTATAAATCTTGCTCTGATTTTGCAAATAAGGGTCAATAATCAAGATGCATTGTTTTATGTTTTGATCAGGTCCACACCCAATGTCTGAATCCTGTAGCATTATTTTTAAAGCTGGACTTGGAACCCACATTCTAGGCCACTGTGGACTTCAAACCACAATGATGCCCTGGTGTACCTACCTTCTGACAAAGCCTGAAGCTGCAAGCAGTCTGTCTAGCCAGCCACTTTACAATGTCTATGCTAGCAACTCAATTTGGCCTCTCTCAACAATGAGCCAGTACGAACTATAACGCCAAGAGTAATAACTAATATAAGCCTTTGAGCATGGCATACCTACCCAGAGCTGTCTAGAAGGATGAGGCTCATGGTCAGTTTTACCAATTCATCTTCTTATCACAACACAGACCTCCAGTTAATCCTGAACTGTATTTTTTAAATTTAGGGAGAAAAATGCCTAAAGTTAGAATGCGACAATTTTCAGGAGGCAGGAACAATGATTCTTTTTAGAATTCTATATGCCACTTAACAAGATATTTCATGATTACAGCTCTTAAACATACTGTGTCTCAGGTTGCACCTTGTTTGGAATACTAAACAACTCATCTAAATTCCAAATTATTCTCTTTTATATGTTAAGTGAAATGATCTTGAAAAGGAATATTTAAAGTTTATCATGAGAGACTCTAAAGATAGCTACTTAAAAGAATATAAGTTCTTTTATAGAGTTTAAGATACTTTGGTAAAAAAGTAGTCAACTGGAAATTGTTACATAATATAGATGATCTTATAGATTTCCTCAAATATGTGATTTCTTTTCTGATTCTGGCTTTCAAGGATTAAAGAAACTATATAATATTTGGCAGAAATAATAATTTAAAAAGTTTCCTTTATATTTAATATTATGATTATGACCTTTACACAACTAAAGTGCTATGTGTAAATAATGTGCCATATTCTATTGATTATATACTTCCCCACAAACACACATACATTTTAGCATCTCTGAAATTAGGTTGTATCTTATAATTGATGGCATCAACTGAATATAACTATTAGGATTTTTTTCCTTAGTGTACATAAAACAATGGCATATCATAACTAATGGCACTTGACAGTCAGTGAAATAAGGGAAATTTTATGTAATTCAAAAGAAAGAAAGGGATTTCTTCTTTAGGTTTGTTAATTATTCCCTTAACCAAGCAAAATGACGGCTCAGAATTCTGGCTGAACTACATTAGAATAATTGAGCCTTCATCAAGTAGTCATTTGATAAAGTATATAATCACAATTCTCAATTGAGACTGCTACTATGACAACCGTTGATATGGTAGAAAATCTAGATGGAAATCTCAAAATGAGAACTTCCATTGCTAGGACTGGTAAGAATTCCAGCATTAATATAATCCATTTCTAATACTCTCCCATAGCACACAATTATACACGTATATAAAACTGATTCAGAGTCTATAACTTTCTGGGCAATATTTGCTGAAGAAATTTATCAATCTAAGATTAACTTAAAACAACTTCATATAAAGCATAAACCTAGAGCTAAATGAGTCCTTAAAAGATACTGAGTACTTTCATACTTCAAACAAATAGAATCTAAAAATGTTAGTTTAAAAGGGAGAAATATTATCATATTATAATGATCCCATTACATACATATATCGACTTTCTGTTAGGTACTTAACACAGTTTAACTAAAGAAATGTCCAGGGCTCAGGAAGTCTCTTCTGAAAAGCCTTAAAGGGAGATCTTCTGTTCCAACAGGAGTTATATCCTACTAGAAACAGCTGGAACAGAACAACCTCACCCAACCATCTGTAGCTTTTTCCAAGTCATTTGCTTTAGATGACAGAGGAAGAAAATCATGCGTTTTGATCAAAGAAAACAAGCTAGTTCCAAAGATACTGTTTACTTTGGCTGGTGATTTTTTTTCTGATATTAGGAAGATAATCAACAAGAACATCTTAACAATCATATCAAAATCCAAAGCACCTGACTTAGGTACTTAAAGAATATCTTACTCTGCTTGGGAAAGTCACCCCTTTCCAGTGAGCACATGCAATGGAATAAAGATTCTAGCAATCTCCAAACCACTAAATATTCTGCATCAGTCCTGATTATTAGTGAAATTGCAAATGTCACAGTCCATTTTTTTTCCAACATTCACAAATCCTAGGGAAAAACCTTTATGAGAAATCAAAGATTCCAAATTCAAGATAACTTTGTGTATTGTTAAAAGTTAGTCACCCAAGGGTGCTTAAAAAAAATTTTTTCTCCCATTCTTCTACTTATCCCCCACCTCCCCAAATACCTGAATGAGACAAATAACCTTAGATTTTAAATTGTTTTGAGAAAAGGCAAGGCCAGAAAACTCTGAAAGACATTTTTTTTTTTTAATTTTAGCAACACTTCACAGAAAAGACCCATTACGATTTTTTATTTTGATTATCATAAGGGTCTCACTTAATTAGTACTTAATGAAACATCATCCTTCATTTCTACAATGTATGTGATTAAAATGAAACATGGTAATTAAAGAAAAACAACACAAGATCTAAAACTAAGAGGTCTGCTATGCTGAGTGAGGTATGAAAAATACTACTGTAGGGAAAAGAAAAAAGCTGTGAAATTAGAGACTACTTTTACTATCAACTTCCAACATATCTTCTCTTAAGTAGATACCAACAGATGTAATCAAAGTCACATTCATTACTAAAATGAGTAAAATTATTCCCCAACAAAAAACACTATGTGGCATTAGAAGCCTGTGACAGGGTTAATGTAGAAACCAACTTCTGGCAAAAACTCAAAGTAAAATCTCTCCTGAGTCCAAATTAAAAAATGGTTTATGCTACTTGTAATTAGTTTTAACCTATATCCCCTGGGCATGTTTTGAAGGACCCAATATTAAGGTACAGCGTACTATAAGAGCTGGTATAACCTTAACTATATCAACACCAAGTAACCTTCAGAGACTCTTCCCATTTGCTGCAGGAAATAATCTGGCACTGATAAAGTACTCCTTTGTTGCTCTCATCCCTCACACTGTTGTAATCAGACTTGAAGCTGAGGAGTTTATATACTTAGCTTGACTTCATGTGTCAGAACTAAAAACAAAAATAAATAAAAAAAATAAGGTATTCCAAACAAAAATTAAAGTCTAATAATATATTCAGCAGGTCTATTTTTCATTTTTGTAATTAAGATCTACTATTTAAGTAGGCCAGTACTTGAACTACCCAGAGGTATAAAATAAAATAATCTAACTGCTCATAAAATAATACTCAAAGTTGTCTCACTTATAAAGTCAAGACTATTCATGGAGACTTGATATTAATTTGGGTTTCCCCAATCTCTACATCACAGAGACACAGGCAGACAGCCTTTATATGTGGACCTCAACTCTAATGAGCAGACTAAAAACATTATAGTCAAAATACACCTTCAAAAGGTGGCAACTCAACTGTCAGTACCCACATTTTGTTTTAATAACATAAGCAGCAGCCATTTCTTTAGTTAACAGTTGCATGGACTTATACATATGAGATCCATACTAATGATGATAACTGGAACCAGACCAAGAAAGAGCAGAGAGTCTCTGAATATAGTTTATATTATAGAGAAGAAAAAGCAGTGAGGTTGGCAGGAAGAAATGGAGCCATGTGCAGAGTGAAAAACAGTCCATTTTGCAGGGTAGGTGAATAAAGAAGACAAGTCAAAAAAAAGCTACCGCTGACTGGAGCAATGACAGAGCTCCATAATGCACAATTCGTGTGGCTTACCCTCACTGAGAAAGCTAACATTTGAGTCAGTTTCCTCTTCTATAAGTAGGTAGCTGTGGGACGACCGGATTTATTAAGAGTTTAGTACAGGAATCCTAGTTGATGTCAGTATTTGCTTAAAGTAATACCCCCTTATAGAATTTAAAATAAAACATTTTCCAAAAGACCAAAAAGAGCCAGGTACAGTGGTGCACACCTGTAATCCCAGTGGCTCAGGAGGCTGAGGCAGGAGGATTGAAAGTTCAAAGCCAGCCTTGGCAACTTAGTGAGGCCCTAAACAATTCAGCAAGACCCCATCAATAAATAAAAATGGCTGAGGATGTGGCTCAGTGGTTGAGAGCCCCTGAGTCCAATCCCCTTTAGCATTAAAAAAAAAAAAAGAAAAGAAAAGAAAGAAATATCAAGTGCAGAGAGTCTCGGAATATAGTTTATAGAGAGAAAAGGCAGTGAGGTTGGCAGGAAGCAATGGAGCCACGTGTAGAGTGACAAACAGCCTGTTTTGCAGGGTAGATGAAATCAAGAAGAAAGTCTCTGAATATAGTTTTATAGAGAAGAAAAGGCAGTTTAAACTATGTGCAGTGGCAAAGAACCTGCCCAAATCTAAACTGTACTTTGTGATGCTCTTCCTACAGAGGTTATCAGGTGAACTGAGAGTAGGCTCTTCTGCATGCCAAATGCATGCAGACAAAGCATCTACCCAGAGAGGGTAAATTTTATCTCACATTTCTCAATGAGGGGAAGCCACTTAACTTGCAATGCATTTTGGATCTCCGTGACCCCACTCCAACTCACGATCAGTTCCTTTGATTTGTTCTTGTCATTTACTCATTTTGTAACCAGACAATACTCTCACATTACAAATGGTTCCATTGCTTTATACCATCTTCACTGTCTTTTCTTCCCTACTAAACCGCCTATTGAAAGTTTATGTGTCCTTCAAGATGCGGTCCACAGGGTAGAAACCTCAGCAAGGGGACTGGGGTTGTAGCTCAGCAGTAGAGCGCTTGCCTGGGTTCAATCCTCAGCACCACATAAAAATAAATAAATAAAGTAAAGGTATTATGTCCAACTAAAACTAAAAACAAACAACAAAAAAAGAAATCTCAGCAAGGAAGGTTTCCTGATGCTTCCAGACTCTCTATGGACAACTGCAATACTTTCTCACATTCTATTTTGCCTTAAGTTGCCTGACAAGAGTGTTCATTATCTGAGGACCGAACCCTATATTTCCAATGGGAGCTAACAGTGCCACACCCACACACCTGGCTTTTCATTGGTTATATCAGAAAAGGTTCAAACCCAACACTCCAAGTCCAATTAGCACTCTAGATTGCATTTGTGAAGTGCAGCTAGTCTAGAGATAAAATTGTCTGAGACTGAAGTTTATAATATGTTTTAGTTGTCTGAATTGCAAGTTTAAACTATGTGCAGTGGCAAAGAAACTAGATACCTATTAAATGTGTCCTGGGGCTCTCCTGAACATGTCTAAGCACAAATATAGAATTATAATACTACATTCATCTT